AATTTCAGTGCTGAAATGCTGAGTTTTGGATTAACAAAAACGAGTGCAGAATAAATTCCTCTAGTTCAGTTTCTAAATGGCATTGTGTTCTTTTCGTTTGTACTTTTTTTTTGCTGCCTACTTTCGTTCCTTCGCTCTCATGTTTCTGCTGGTTGCTGGACCAAGAGATCCAAAGACGTCTTTTGTTTGGGACCCTGTTTCATTCAGATTTGTATTTATTTGTTTTTGTTGTTGTTTTTCATGTCCTCATGCCAATTTATGAATTTTTTCCCCAGTGATATAAAAGGAATTGTTATAGTTTTGACATTAGAATGGTACATTTGTTGCTATTATTTGTGTTTATTTTAAAAAAAAAAGTGGATTGGACTTGGTGCTAGCAGAGCAGACTCTAAAAGTACTTCAGAAAGGGTCATTCAGTTACGTTGGAGGTGATAAATAATGATAACAATAACGCTGAACAAATATATTTCATATAATCATATTTCAGTCTTTCATGGTGAGGATGACATTTCAGACCAGTAAAGACAAACAAGTTTTCATCACATTTTTACAAAATATTCAAGTAACCATATTTACAACATGAGATGTCACAACACACCGAGTTTGTTGTCACTGCTGAAAAAGCATCAGCGTGTTCTTGTTTGTGCTTGATGAGAACACTTTTGGACTCTTGCACTCTAATATTACTGAAATTACTGCCACAGGCACTGTCTGTTGTCATCCCTGGAGCTGTTACGTAAATTAATATTTTTGTTGTAACCACTTATGTGTTCAAACCACAGAATGTAATAAAAACAGATCAAATCTACATATCTGCCAGTTGTATTACTTTTTTTTTTCTTTGCCTTCAGTGCAATTCTCACATCAGAAAAGTCATTCTCACTACTCTTACTGCAGAATAACTTACTCCACCCACGTTAACTTTTCTCATTGTTTTTATACAGTGCTGTAGTTTTTCCACATACTTCACAGCTAAAGATAGAAGTTGATGCACTTTTCATCTTGATCTCATTAAAACACAGTTTGCACTCTTGATTGCTCACTTTCCTGATTACTGCATTAGTGTTTTTACTGTAATCCAGGGGTAGGCAACCTTTCTGATGACGAGTGCCATTTAAAATTTCCTCAGAAGTCAGTGTGCCATATGATTGCATTAGCAATAAATTTAATAACGCTCTATATTAACGGTTACACACTATATAGAACCACTTTATAGAATTATATTTGTTCACAGATGAAACCAAAAAAAAAAAGAAGACACTTTTTATCCATAACAGCAAATGAACTATACAACAGAAAATACAAATGTTATTTATTGTCTCCTCACAACAATGATAAGAAAAATAAACTGGGCCGATATGGCATGTTTGTTAATACAGAGACACACATGTTAATGTGATCTCTGGTCTCCCACTCAGAGACACGGGTCTCCGAGTGTCCAGCATTCAGACGGCTACCTGAGGACACTCATGTGAGAAAATCTGCTTACACAGATATGTAGAACCAAATACTGTCAATAAGGCCTCTGCAATGTTCTGAAGACAGTTAAACTTGTCAGGTAGTGATGTCTAGCAGGTGAAAATGTAAGCTCCATGAACACACACAGCTGTGGATTCCAGCTGCTTTGATGTTATATATATGATTTCTATACATTTTACACCAGATAAAAACTTTGGTTGTAAGCTTCAGATAATCATTTATTAAAAGCTAGACATTTTAAATGAGAATAAGAAAGTATTTCTTTGTGTCCCCCTTTCCCTGTTAATGCCCTACCTGGCCCCGCTGGCAAAACTTTGCTAGACCCGCCCCTGCACAGTTACCAGCTGTCAGCTACATAAAAAAAGGATCCTGGTGTTATTTGTCTCTCAGAAACAGTTCATAACTTCCCTTCAACTCATTCATGTCACCTAAAAGGTAAACCTGTTTCTCCATCCCCTGCTCAGCTCTGATGATTCAGTAAGGACATCTCCTGGTTTCATCTGCATGTTTCCCTCTCACCAGATATACAAACCGATATCATGGCCAGCAGCTTTTACAGCTGTGGCTCCAGCAAACATCAGCTACCAGAAAGTAATACTAAATACATTCTAACAACAGCTGATCAAGCTTAAACGTGCTGCTGTTGTTTAACGCGACATCCGGCGGTTTCCTCTTTCTGGTGCAAAGTTGGTGATAAACAAACGATCAGCGGATCATTGATCGTTTCATGATTGAAGTAGCAACAGGCGAGAGAGGGGGAGAGAATGAGAGAAGAAGAGGCAACTGTGCAGCGTAATGACAGAATAACTCCAGCTTTGTGTCTTTTTTTATTCTAGCTGAAGTCCGGGACAAACTGTTCCTTTTCACCTCAATACGAAACGCATAATATTTTCTCTGAATACGGGACGATTCAGTCTTTTTACAGGACGGTTGGCAACTCTACTAACTAACCTTATGAATAAAATAAAGTTCACTATTAGTACCATCAAAGCACCCACCCAGCTGTATAGAAACTCCGTCATGCTAGCTAGCACGCAGTAAGAGTTATTGTAACTGACTGTAAAAAGTCAGCAAAACGAAAATAAACTCCACCTAAACTTTGTTTATATCTGACCCAGATGGACTGCAGGTCATAACTTCTTACCTGAAGTTCAGTTCACCTGACACTCAGACCGGCGGCCGCCTGGGTCTCTCCTCCTGCCTCCCCTTTCTCCACCTGCTGGCCTCCACCACTGCTAATGTTACTGAATCTGAGGAAGCACCACCACAGCCACCAGGCACGTGCAGAGGGGGGGGCGGAACGGGCTTGAGCACCCGCCCCTTTCCTGATGGGTGCCCAAAGTGCCCTTTTGTTGAGGCAATTGTTTTTTTGTTTTTTTTTTATTATTATTTCTTTTTATATGTGTGTGTGCGTGCGGAGTCCTGTCTGTGCCCCTCAACAATAATATTTAACTATTAATCACAGTTTTGCTAAATAAAAGGATCTGACTTGTATTAGTCACATGATCACATTTAACCAATGATCGCAGAACGCGCTGGTTACGAGCCGGGAACGAGCTCACAAAGAGCACGCGCATTTTTTGCGGTCCGGAGCTGTAGGAGAAACACAAGTTAACTCAGAGAGACGGACTGATGCGACAAAACCAGTAAGTAGGTGTACAGCGCACACTGTAGTGTGTAGCACCCAGGAGTGTTAGCTTATTACGTACACGTTGGTACGCTGTCTTGTGGCAACTGACGAACTGAAACAAACGAGCGTGCTGTGTGTGCAACAGCGCGACAAACATTACCTGTCCTAACTGCACAAGTAGTGCTGGTCATAGCTGCTAGCTCACTGGGTAAGGCTGTCATGGGTCTGTAGCTCTGTCACCGTTTTAGGGAACATGTTTAGTTTTAAAGTAAGTTACAGAGCATTTCCTGCCTTTCTGGGGGGGATTATATTTCACTAAAAAACGATCTAATATGCATGTCCACATAATAATGATTATAATTATAATATTTAAAAAACACACGCTGTATTTTAAAGAACGTACATTAAGAAACAGATTATATTAGATTTCTATTTTAAATAAGACAAAATGCTGATTTTACAGCAGCAAAATTATTGTATCTCTACAGTTTAAAAATGTAATAAGCTTTGCCCCTACACAGAGTGGATAGTGAAACAAATGGAATCATCATAAATACATTCATATTTATTAGTTTTTTCCCCTCATTGCTTTATTATTGTAGCTCTAGTAATAAATAATAAGGGAAGGATTCTGGATCAGCACCATGATGGAAACTTGTGCCCACAGTATATACAGTATTCTGAAGAAGGTCTAAAATGTCACTGTGTGTGCATGTGTGTGTTTTATGTATATGTATTTTTAAATTATTACTCATGATATAACATTGTCCAGACATGCCTGGTAAGGACATGAGGAGGAAACAGTAGGAGCTGTATGAGGCTACTAAAGGTAATGGATCCCTCAGCAGC